CAGCAGCAGCAGCAACAGCAGCAGCAGCAGGAGAACGGCGACTCAGGTGGTGAGAGCTGACGAGGCTCAACGCGGAGCCAGCAGTCCCCGCTGCTGCTGCTGTTGCTGCTGCTGCTGCTGCTGTTGCTGCTGCTGTTGCTGTTGCTGCTGCTGCTGCTGTCGTTGCTGCTGCTGCTGCTCCTGCTACCCCAACAGCTGCCTCTGCCGGTTCAAGTGCTGCACCAACTGTTGTTGCTGTTGCTGCAGCAGCAAAAAGCTGCTGCTTCTGTTGCTGTTGTTGCTGCTGTTGCTGCTGCTGCTGCTGCTGCTGCTGTTGCTGCTGCTGTTGCTGCTGCAGGAGACGTCTGACAGTGGTTACGTGTGTTGTTTGCTGTGTCTTGACATTATGCTGTCCCTCTGCAGCAGCAGCAGCAGCAGCAGCAGCAGGAGCAGGAGCAGCAGCAGATGCAGCAGCATCAAAAGAAGCAGCAGCAGCATCCCCATCAGCAGCAGCAGCAGCAGGAGGCGACAGCAGCTCATCATCAGCAGCAGCGGCCGAGGGAGCACCGGACGCAGCAGCAGCAACAGCAGCAGATGGAGCAGCAGCAGCAGCAACACCAGCAGCAGCAGCAGCAGCAGCAGCAGCAGATGCAGCAGCAACTCGCTCCTCTCGCCTATGGAGGGGCCTCAGCGATCTCCCCCCCTTTCTACACTACACCTCTCGCGGCTCCTTTCGTGGCTTGTCGCAGCAGCAGCAAACAGGTAAACCCTAAACCCTAAACCCTAAACCCTAAACCCTAAACCCTAAACCCTAAACACTAAACAAGGGGGGCATTTGGTGATACATTCTGAGACCATCTGCAGCAAGGCTGCATACAGAAAGAATTAATTTTGCTGCTGCTGCTGCTGCTGCTGCAACTACTGCTGCTGCTGCTGCTGCAGCAACTGCTGCTGCAGCAGCGACTGCTGCCGCTTCTGTTGCATCCCCACCGACTGCTGTTGCACCACCATCTGCTGCTGGTGCTGCTGCTGCATCTCCTCCCCGTCTCCACAACCACTACCTGCTGCTGCTACTCCTGCATCTGCTTCTGCTTCTGCTGCTGCTGCTGCTGCTGCTGCTGCTGCTGCTGTATCAGATGCTGGGGGTGGTACTTCTGGGTTAGATGGTGGGGTTGCTCCGGGGCCCCTCGACGAGCCGCTGCTGCAGCGGGGCTGTGCAGTGGGTGTACGTATCCGTCCTGAGTCAATACAAGAGGCTCAGCTGGGGGCCCCCTGTTGCTTGCATGTGGGGCCCCCATGCATATGGGCCCCCCCCCAGGGGGGGGG